CCCTAGTGTAAGGATCAGCCAGCGGCTGGAGCGAGTCTCAGAGTGATGTGATGCTGTTATGTTCAGATGATAAGACAGAGCTCAGCGCTCAACGATACGGCTCATCACATTGATTGTGTTCTGCCTAGTCGCTGTTTCATGCTCATTAGTTCTCTGATTCATATAATCAATAATATGGATTACAAAGACATTTAATTGTTTGCTTGCCTGGTTGAACTAATTCAATGAAGTATAGCAATAAGTGTCTCTATCACACTTCACACGCGAGTCAGTTAAGAGCCAGGGACAAAATTAAACGGTTAGTTACCAGCCCACACCCAAGTCTCAAACCTGCTAAAAGTACGAATAAAAGACATAAATAAATAAAATTGTGTAATTCAATGTCAGTAACATACATACAACATAATATTCTGTTAACACTTTACAATAAGGTTCATTTGTTAACATTAGTTAATGTATTAACTAACATGAAGTAACAATGAGCAATACATTTGTTACTGGATTAGTTCATCTTTGTTAAAAATTCAGCTATTCAGTCCACAGCGCATTAAATAATGTTAACAAATACAACCTTTGATTTTAATAATGTAGGAAATGATGAAATTAACATTAACTAAGATTAATAAGTGCTGAAGTATTGTTCATTCTTAGTACATGTTAAACGGTAGTTTTTTAACTATTGAACCTTATTGTAGTGTTACCAATATTCTTATTGCATTCATATTGTAATATTCTTTATCATAATTATTAACATTATGCCAGCATCTTTTTATTTTTTTATTTTTTATTTGCAGCTATATAGATACCTGAGATTTTACTTTAGTAATTGAATCTCGGTATCGCAAGGCCATTGATTTGATTTTCCAGGAACTCACATGATAAAACTGGTTGCAGTTGCTGTGAAGGTGTCTGCAAAAATCAATATATATAGGCTATATAAAAGAAGTCCATCCTTCTAGTCTTCTTCAAGGACTCAAAGTGCGATAGTTCTTCTATTGAAAGACTTATACATTTCAAGACCAGGTTTTCAGTCCATGTTGAATTCTCAGTAAGAGCTTGCAGTCAACGTGTCTAGTGACACATGGATGAGAAAATAAGGTAGCTTGATTGTCACATTTTCTTGAATATCTCACATACCAATTCACAATCCCAGTATGACTTAAATTTAACCTTCAATCACAGATTTTCCTTTTCTATCGCACTTCGGTGCAGAATTTACTGGCGTTTCAGTCTCTTAGATAGAAGATTAGAGGTGTAAATATTTGCTTTGACAGATTTTATTCTGAACTCAATTATTTTGGAATCTCAATTTAAACTGCATGGTCAAGAATGCAATTTTTTTGGGAAAGACAGAAACCATGTTACAGCTACATAGATATTTTTAAAGAGTGACAGGGTGGAGAAGGCTGTCTTCAAGGGTGAATAAATCCCATACACATCTATTAAAAAAAACATGAGTATGTGGAAATATTAACAGTAACGCTATTTCTGTTAAACACCCTTTGAACAGCAATACTACTACTACTAATAATGATTTGTGTTGCAATTTTAGGGAGAATATATACCAGATATTCAGAAATATGCTCAGGTCCGGCTCAGACACTTCACTCATTATGAGCATTGGGCAGTAAGAGATTGACTTATCTTATAGGAGGTTGTTGAAGAAGAAAAAAAAGATATTTGAAATGGTGAAAATACGGATTCAATTTTTTTTTTATCTAACAAGCTGAAATGTTTTGTGAGACAAACCAACCAATACCAGAAAACATTACTGAATTCCTATAATTCATCACTAGCACTACTTATCCACTTCACTTATTTAATAATTGAATGAAATAAAACAAACAAAAAAATCCTATACATACATGTACATGTTCTGCATTATAGGAATGTAATGTGAAGATTCAGAAGATCTGAAAAGAAAGTAGCCCTCAAATATTAATTTACAATGCAGTTATAAACACAACACAGTTCATATATTTAGCTTTATGGATATGAAATTTTCCAATATATAAAAGAAGGTTTATACAAAAACATGCATTAATTACATTTTTGTCTTTGACATAGAATCCAAAAAGAATGTGTTTATAAGATAAAGAAAAATTACAAAAAACCTTTTGGACAATGAGAGCATTAAAATTGTCCCAGAAAGAAGAATTGAAGATGTATTTAAATACAATTTCAACATCTCTCAATAAGAAAGCAATGAAAACATCTAGAATTTGTACCATGTTTAATATTCTTCCTTAATGTTTTATTTTTTTTCTTGTATGCCCTCATCTCTCTTTCTTTCTCTCTTTTTTCTCTTTCCTTATCTCCTCTCTTAATATATTTGATATCATAAAAAATAATAATAATAAAAAAATAATAACCCAGCTGTGTTCTGTTCAGCCATTATGCAGAATCATACTGTGTGTATGAGCATTTACATGCAGTCAGACAGTATAATAAAACAACACTAGAAATGTATCCAGCTATCATAATCATTATAGCCTTATAATGAGCAAGCAAGCAATAAAATAATGCTATTTTTATGAAGCAATTGTAATTTTTAATTATTTCACCCTGCCTCTAATTCCCATAGCCCTTAACTGTGACATTTACTTACAACATTTAATCTAAAGTAGTTTAGACTGCATGTATTTGGTGATTGCATGTCTTGAATTACACTTTATAAAGTGCAATGCATTTAATTGAATGCATAACAGAAATATTTGTTCATCCAGGTGACTTTCTGCACATTTACATTTTGTATTATAGTTTATACTCCATATGTTATAGTAAATATGTGCACAGAAGTCAAGCATTACATAAGAGCTAAAGTGAGTCTCATGGGTGTGCAAGCCTAACAAAAGAGGCTCTGCACAAAGTGCTGTCTTGCCAAGTTTGCATCAGTACTCAATACACTGTAAATATTGCAGAAAAACCTTTGGACAATCACAAAATATGGCAATAACTACATATCAAAACATATGAAGAGTTTGGTTCCAAAACGCTATAAATCCATTTTGATGAATTTGAGTAAAACTGTGTTTTCTTTAGCAAGAAAATGGGAAGATGAAAACCACTATTTTCGGTTTCAAATTTTCACACAGCATTTGTAGGTTATAATAACAATAAAAAATGAAATCCAGGTTTTGATTTCCAAAGATTTATTATAAAAACAGATTGTTTTTCCCCCCAAAATGCAATAAATCCAATAATTTATTTTTTTTCAAAATGCAATTAATCAAAATAAAATTTTATACACATTGAATTTCTTGTGCATACTATAAATCCATTGCTTTAATATAACAATATTCGGTAACATTTTAAGGGTTCATGTCATGAATTATCATGAATTCATGGATAAATGAATTATGCATTAATTCATATTAATATAATCAGGAACTAACAACGTTTTTTTTAACAGTTCAACGTTTTTCATTCATGAATTCATGGATGAACGAAACCTTAATTAAAACATTAACTAAGACGAGCACATCATCATGAATTATGATTTATTAAGCATGATCTAACGTTATGCATATCGCTGTTGTCAACCTTGGGACGTCGCCGCTGAACTTTTTTGACAGCGATCAGCTGTAAACTGGCTTGGTCCTGCTCAGTTTTTGTTGACTTTGAATAAAACAACTGAAAGTTTTCCAAAATATCCTCTGGGGTCAGTGTGTCAGCGTGACAGAATTTTGATGCTGTCGTGTGAGAACAAGCAACAGCCGGCATTTCCTCCTCCCGAGTCCATCTTCTTCCTCACGTAAATAATTCGATTTCGATGTCACGTTTACCCATGCAGGATGCCTTACCCTCCGCAGGTTCACCAATGCTGTCAAAATTATTCATTTTTTTGTTTGTTTGTTGATCGAAAGGACAAAATAGAGAAAACCTAGGAAGCCGGGTTAGTTAAAGCGCTGCCGTTACTGTTTACATTGCGTAGAATGGTGCGTTGTGATTGGTTTAGCGGATATGTGGCATTTTGCAGAAAAGGGAGACTGGCGTTTGTCGCGGTTTGGAAATAAAGGGAGAAAACATTACATAATAACACGGCGGATATCCCATTTTATGTAAAATTAAATATTGTTTTGTATGTGTCGGTATTGAAAAGTCAGATTTTTGCAGTAACTCATTTTTTTTAAAAATGGCGTTTATCGCGTTTTGGAACCAAACTCTTCATATATAAACTTGAATGATAAATTTACTGTCATGTTGGAGAATTAAATGGACTGATTTATACATTTTTTTTAAATATTCTTTGAGAGTTAGGATTTAGGCTCTATTATAATTTTCATGAAAACAAGATTGTATGTCCCCATTTAGATGTGTGTGTGTGTGTGTGTGTTGTGAGACTGAATGATTAATCGTTCATCGTTCAGTATAGCTTGGTTTTGTGCCAGTCTTGGACCTTTATCATTATCCTGTTCTGCTGAATGCCGTCACATCAGCATGTCCCATCATGTTG